AACACTATTTACCAATTTTTAGGAAACAATACAATTCAGAAATAGCTTTTGGAGAGTCTTAGACGCGGGGCTGCAGAATATACACACATAACACTTTTATAGTATTTATAATTTTATTCTTCATATGTAAATATCTGCCTTTTTGGTCAATAAATTTTGTTCTAAAATAGAAGCTCCGATAATTATTTTGGTACTCTCACTTAAATATTATTTCTACTCGCGTTTATCTTTTGTTCAAGAATTGACCGTAGGTAACTTCAGTTACTGGCCATCACGATGTTTAACCCTTGGATATGAAGAGCGGATGGTGACAGTGTGTATATGAGAGAGAGAGAGAGAGATTGAGTGAGAGAAGAATGAATTCAAGCTTGAGAAGGAGAAAAAGGGGAAATCTAGAGAATTGAAAGGAAAATAGAAGGAATTAAAGAATTTAGCTTCAACACTTGCTAATTCAAGGCTTAAGGTAGGAATTCAACTTTTCATTTATGACTTTGAGTTAAATAATGTAAGAATTCAAGAAGTTTGAGTGAGTAAACAAGAGAATTGAGTTAAAGAAGAAAAAAAGAACACTCCATGCATGCTCACTATGATTCTACACTCAAACACTTCATTTGTGCATGGTTTAGAAGTATTGAATTCATATCATTACATGCATGTGAATATAGATAAAGTTTCACTTTGATTATGAAAAATTGATTTGTGTTTGGGCCTTGATTTTATGAATTAACCTTCATTTCATGTTTTACTACAGGTTTTCAAGTATTTTCTAAAGTTTTTGGCCCAAATGAACAAGATTGAATCTTTGGAATCAAGTTTTGAACTTTAAAGAGCAATCTGAAAATCCTAGAATTTGGTCGCATCACTTGAGCTACCATTGACAGACAAATTTACAGTATAGAGAGACAGGAATTTGATTATTTTTTGAGTGCTTTCTGTGCTCAATTAGGTTTGCGTACTAATTCTCAAAAGTCAGAGCTTTATACTAGTCCAAATATGCTGTCAGTTCATAGGGATTTTGCAGTTTCGGTTTTGGGAATTAAACTAGTGGCAAAACCAGGTACTTACCTTGGTGCAAATTTGTGGTTCTTGGGAAGATCGAAGAAGGAGATTTTTAATTCTATTCTAGATAGGTTCAGGGTAAACTTCAATGTTGGAAGGGTGGGCTTCTGAATTTTGCTGAGTCAAATTGTGCTTACTAACCATGTGTTACATTCTATTCCGGTCTATTTGATGTATGTTTTTAAAATGCCATTGTCTTTTCTTAGTAGGTTCACAACCATAGTTTGAAAATTTCTTTGGTTCTCAAATAGGAAAGTTGGAATTTATTGGAAGCACTGGTGGCTAGTGTGCCTTCCTAAGGGGTGGGGAGATCTGGGGTTCAGGGATTTGCTATGTTTTAATCAAGCCTTGCTTGCAAAGCAAGCATGGAGAGTGTTGTCGAACCCAAATTCTTTGTTGTCTAGGGTCTTAATAACGAGGTATTGTAATCAGAACCTCCTTGCGATTCAAACTTCTAAAACATCTTGGGGTTGGAGAAGTATCTTATGGGGTAAGAAACTATTGGCTTTTGGTATGCAATGGGTTGTTGGAAATGGTAAGAAGATTAATCCTTTGGAGGACCATTGGATACCATCCATTGCCAACCCATTGAGAGGTAGGGGTCTTTCGCAGGTCTTCCCTACTATGCGATTGGAACACTTTATTGATAGGAAAATAATTGTTGGAGACTGAATTTGATTAGACTCTTTTTTCTGGAAAATTGTATTGGTCATATTCTTGCTATACATATCTCGTTTCATTCCCGTGAGGACTAATTTGTATGGAGCCCAATTAAGAATGGGGTGTGTATACTGTTAAATCCAGCTACAAGCAAGCTTTGGTTAGACATTATCCCTAATTAGAAGTCAAATGGTTGAACACGTAGTGTGGAAGAAGTTCTGGCAACTCAAAATCTCCCTAAAATGAACTGTATTTATTTGGAAGTGCCTTCATTGCATACTACCAATGTTGTGGGAACTTGAAAAGAGAGGTATGGTGGTTGATTTGATGTGCACTAGGTGTCATTTGAGCGAAGAAACATTGGAGCATGTGTTCTGTTATTGTCCATTTTCGTAGAGAGTGCGGCAAGGGTCAACATTGGGGATCGATTTTAGCATTGGAGTGCCAATATCTTTGTTTATGTGGTTCAAAAATTGAGTTGAGCAAGTTAAAGATGAGGAGATTATTATTCAGTCGATGGCTATACTTTGGGCCATATCGTTACAACGTAATAGCTATACTTTTAAGCACAATGGGGTGTCTCTTGAGGACACAGTTGCGGTGGCAAATGGATTTTTTATTATGGTTAGGCGTTGTGTTAGTTCGGGATCACATGCACACAATCTTAATGTCACGGAGGCAATGGAAGTACAAACTGACCTGTGTGTTTTGCAGCAAGTGGCAGATCATGTTGGAGGCTCAAAACCTTGGACTTTCCTAATTGATGGGTCTTGGAAATCAAGTGAGATGGGTGCAGAAGCAGCTTGGAAATGCTTCGATGAACACAATCAACAAGTGGCCAATAAAGCAGTGGGGCAACAGTTATGAAATGTTATAAAGACGAGTAATGCTAAAGACCCCAAATATTTTATCAAAAGTTTTACTAAATGTCTCACATGGGTGTGGGACCCATACAATATGGGTCCCATGTGGGTCCCACACCCATGTAAGACATTTGGTAAAACTTTTAGTAGAATTTTTGAGGCATCTAGCATTTTTGTATAAAGATAGATTGTCAAGTTTTAATAACGTTACTTAAAACGGGAATGAAGTGGATTGGCGGGTTGCGTCTACCATTAGTGATATATTGGCTTTGTTTGATTTACCTCTCAAAATATATTTCTTTAAAAAAATTTCAAAATTTTGTTTGGTTGGACATTTTTTTTTTTAAAAATTCCAAAATTACTTTTTCTCTCTCCTCTCTTCTTCTCTATCACTTTTTCTCTCACACGTATCTACTCATTTACAACAAAATATCAAATTATCCCAAACTCCCAAACTCTAAAACTATTTTTAAAATATATAACCAAACAAATCCAAAAAATTTCTAAACTTTCTCCCCAAATTTTTTTTTGAAAATTTATTTTAAAACACAAACCAAACACACTAATTATATTTTAGCAAGTTTTTTCATTTTCTTAGATCTTGTTTGGGATTAAATACTTTAGTCAAAAAGTTACTATAAGTTGTCACATCACTCTCTTTACTTTTCTGTATATCTTTTCATAAAAAAATTAAAAAATTACTAAAATAATTTGTTTCCAAACGAGATCTTAGTACAATTAAAATTGAAAGGAATGTAATTAAACCAGCCCATGAGCTGACAACTAATGTAACTCGTTTCAATTATTAATGTTATGTGTGTTTCATCCTCATAAATAATAAATAAATAAAATCATTTTCTCTAGTTTTTTTTTTTAATTTTTTGTTTTGAAAAAATTATCATATTAATTACTAGAATATTTAATAAAATTTGAAGAAAATAATTACAAATTAGAAAAGAACGAATAGTATGATCAGAATTGTATTTTTCTTATTTAAAAAGTTAAAAATCATAAACAAAAAACAATTAACTAGAATTTTGAGAGTTAAAGAATTCATGACATTTTTGCTTATATAATAGTATGGGTAATGTTATGCTACACACTCTCAAATACAAGTTATGATATCTGTGGGTTTGATTTTGACAAATGTCATAATTCCATGCTATGAGAGTTCTTACCAAAAAAAAAAAAAAAAAAGTTATAACCAAAAACATAAGATATAATCAAAAAATTCTTAAATCATAACAAAAATAATGTAACCAACATGATAATAAGTTATAACTAATACTATAATATATTACAATGAAAGATTACAAAAATCGTAACTAAAAATGCATAGAATTTCCCATATATACATAGATGCATAACCTATTTAGGTATTGTTCAACAATAGTAAATTATAAATACATTCTATGAGATTTTGTTTAAAGGGCATTGATTTAGACCCTCTTAAAACACCCACTCCCACAACCCCTCACGCACATGGAGGTTGGGGATTGGGTGAGAAGAAAAAAAAAAATAAAAAAAATTAACCAATCAAAATTAAAGGGGGTCAAGGGGGTGACCCCCAAAAGGAGTCTCAACCTTTATCCTTGTTTAAAATGCAAATTAACCCAATGGTTGTGAAAGTTATATTATTCCTCTTCAAATTTAATTTCATAAAAAATAGTCCTTTCTAATAATCAATCATCTAATCAATTAATAATTTTTAATAATGTCTGACATATATTTTAATTAATAATTCAAGTAATTTTATTATAATATAAGATAGCACTAATGAATTTTATTTTTTTAATTAATTCGGTTAAATAAAAAAAATTTGATAAAAAATATTTTATAATTTTATAATGACATATATTTTAATTAATAATTCAAGTAATTTTATTATAATATAAGATAGCACTAATGAATTTTATTTTTTCAATTAATTCGATTAAATAAAAAATATTTGATAATTTTATAAATTACAGAAGACAATTCATATTTTAAAATGATTGAACAATTATAGGCAATTCACATACGATTTATGCAATAACACCCGACTAATGCCAGAAATTATGAAAAAAAAAAAATCATAGTAAAACACACACACCAGTCAACTAATAAAAAAATTTCATTAAACATTTTATAATATTTTTTTTCAAAATCTCTATTATTGCTCATAACACCCATACCCTAACCAAATAAAAATAAAAAATTCATTAAAAAATTCATAATATTTTTTACATAATTTCTATTATTACTCATAACACCCATTATTACTCGTAACACCCAACACTAACTCGTGGATAAGGAAGACACGTCACGTCACGTGACAACCCGGCACAGAAACCCTAACATGACTCCCCAACCATTAACCGACACGTGTCCATTCCTCCCAGCGCTCTCCTGATTTTTTGTTTTTTTACCTAAATGCCATTTCGATGCCGGTCGCCCATTACATATGAAGCTCACTCCCGGCTCTCTCTCTCCACCACCACCACCCAACTGTATGTAATCCACCGATTCTCTCTCTCTCCCTCACTTCTTTATACTCTCTCTCTCTATATGTCTACATAGTATGTCCGTAGAAATCGCCGATTAGATAATTCCGGTGAGATCTAAATCTCTCCGGCGAACTTCTCCGATGACTGCTTCCAACTCCGATTCTTTGGTGAGAAGAATCTAGAAATGTTGGATTCATTCTGTGTAACTCACGTTGTATCCAATATCTGGCTTCGCAAGAGGAAAAAAAAACCCACCTCTGATAGGATATCCTCCTTGACCTAGTTCTGTAAATTGTATTGGAATATTTAAAATTCATTCTTGTAATCTTCTTAGATGTATATGTATATATATGATGATCTCTCGATTGTACAGTTTTGGAATTAGGGTTCTTAAGTTTTCGTTTTTGTACAGTTAGGGAGGGAGGGGAATAATAATAATATTATTATTATTATTATTATGTTTTAGTTGTGAAAGTGGCGAAGATGAGTTTGAGTAGTAGGGCGGAGGAAGAATCGGCAGAGGAAATCCATATACCTGCTGATATTGATTGGAAAATGCTGGACAAATCCAAGTTTTTCTTCCTGGGTGCTGCCTTGTTTTCTGGTGTTTCAGCCATTCTTTACCCTGTTGTGGTGTTGAAAACTCGACAACAAGTCTGTCAATCTCAGGTTTCTTGCATCAAGACCGCCTTCTCGATTGTTGGTCACGAGGGTTTTCGCGGACTGTATCGAGGGTTTGGGACTTCCTTGATGGGAACAATTCCAGCTCGGGCATTGTACATGACAGCGCTCGAGGTGACTAAGAGCAATGTTGGGACTGCAACGATTAGATTTGGAGTTTCGGAGCCAACTGCAGCTGCCATTGCCAATGCTGCTGCAGGGTTAAGCGCTGCGATGGCTGCACAGCTAGTTTGGACCCCAATTGATGTGGTTAGCCAAAGACTAATGGTACAGGGCGGTACTACTAGTACTCATCATCATAATAATAATAATAACCCAAAAACAACCTCCTCGTCGTGTAAATATCTTGGTGGAATCGATGCGTTTAGAAAGATTCTGAATACGGATGGACCGAGGGGTCTGTATAGAGGATTTGGGATTTCAATACTGACTTATGCTCCTTCAAATGCAGTTTGGTGGGCATCCTACTCTGTTGCGCAGAGGCTTGTTTGGGGTGGAATTGGATGTTATCTTTGCAAGAAAGACTCGTGCAGGAATGAGAATGGTGGGAACAGTTTTAGACCAGATTCGAAGACTGTAATGGCAGTTCAGGGGGTGAGTGCAGCCATGGCAGGTGGGGTTTCGGCTTTGATTACGATGCCATTTGATACAATCAAGACAAGGTTACAGGTTTTGGATGGAGATGAGAATAATAATGGGCGTAAAGGGGTACCAACAATTCGACAAACTGTTCGGAATTTGGTAAGAGAAGGTGGATGGATGGCTTGTTACAGAGGACTTGGACCTCGCTGGGCTTCCATGTCAATGTCAGCAACCACCATGATCACTACCTACGAGTTTCTCAAACGCCTTTCGGCCAAGACTCAAGAAGGTTTAACATCATGAACAACAACCACACACAAGAAAAATTACAGAGTAAACAAGGTTTCTCTCTTTAACCTCTGTTTCATTTTTCTTCTTTTAATTTTCTGTCAACTTTCTTTTTTAGCTTTTCCTTTTCCTTTTCCTTTTCCTATTCCTTTCCTTCCTTTTTGGTGTTTTTCCTCTTTCCTTCTGGTAGCCTGCTTGATCAAGTGGATAATCATAGAAACATATATGTCTTTCTTTGAGTAAAACCCTTTTAACATAATCTTCATTTTGAAGTGTGTTATCCACAAGTTTTGATTATTTTACAGATGATGAATTTAATTAGGGTGCTTAATTGGGTTGTCTTTTGTGAGTAAGCACATGGGAATTTTTTAGATTCCTTCTCTTATAAGAAGAGAAGAGAATAAGTATCGAGAGACCAGATCTAGTCTTTGATGGTAGATGAAGAAGATAGATATCTGGAATCAGACTTGAGACTAGGCTGGTTAGTCGGATTCAATCTTATTGTTGCTATGCATACGTAGTGCACGGAATTTGATCTTCTCTTTTTTTTTTTATGTAATGAAATTGTTTTATTATATATTTAACGATTACGAAATATAAATATAAATTTATAATTAATTTGAATTAAAAAATTATTACATTCAATGTTAAATGATGTAATAAAATTTTTCAGTTAAAAATATGTAATTGAGATAATCAATTTTAATGGGGTACAAGAAATTTGGGTGGGGCTGGTGGTGTATACTACTTTTGAAGACTAGAATTTATGCACCAAGGATCTTCTAGAGTGAAATTTTTCTAAAGTTTCTTAGAGTGCTATATTGTGTGGTTGAGATTTACTGACAAGTCACATCAAAAAAATTGATGTGACTTGTCAGTAAATCTCAACCACACAATGTAGCACTCTAGGAAACTTTAAGAAAAAATCACTCTAGAGTATCCTTACTCGAATTTATGGGATTTTTATTTATTAACTTTTTGTTGAAGTGGTGGGGACTACACTACACCTACCCGACACCACTTGGATGGATATGATGATACTGGGGTGGGGATGGGTATCTGTCAGCTAAGATTTATATAGATAGATAAAAAGGTAATGGTACGTTCTTTTAATTTTAAAATTTTAATTGAGTTTTAATGATGTGATCGGAAATAAAAAAAATTTAAAAAATAAAATTAAGATCAAAGCATCACGTTATAATGGAGTCTACTTTCATTAAAATTTATTACAATTCTTTTATTAAAGCTCCCGATCATTTTTCATATATAAGAACAAGTGGGCTATTTATAAGTAGTTGGAAAGGCTCCGCTTTTATTCCATCTAGTTTTGTTTGGATCTGACATGCTATCATAGCTAAATTATAAATATATCTTTTTAGATTTGATTAAAATATGAATCGTTTTTTGTAATTTTAGAAATTATATTCAACCCTTGAGGTTTTTAATTTCATAATAAATCGCTCATTCTATTAATAAATCATCAAGTCACTTAATAATTTTTAATGATTTTAAAAATATGTTTCAATTAATAATTTAGGTAATTTTATTATTGTATAATAGAGCAATTATGAATTTTATTTTTTTAGTTAATTCTGTTAAATAAAAAATTCTAACAAGAGAGTATTTGTAATTTTTCAAACCATATGGAACAATCTATATTTTAAGCAAACCTCAAACCTCAAGAAATATATTTGTAATTTATCCTAATTAATTTCATAACAAGTGTTCTTGTCCTATATTCTGCCATGGTTTATCAAACCCAAACCCAAACCCGAATCTATTTTATATTTTTATCTACAAGTTGCTCTGTATGTTTGGGGTATTCTCATGCTAATATGGGAATTTAAGATTACGTGTAGATCATAAATTCAAATAAAGTTTTATGAATTCAGATAGAATTTTTAAAAAAAAAATAAAAAATGAGAGAAAAAGAAAAAGAAAAAGAAAAGGGAAAAAAAATAAAAAATATCAAAATTTATGTTTCAAACATAACCTAAATCCTATAATCCTTCCAAATCCAAGCCAAGCACTTCAAAGAAACGGCAACTTGTTGGAAATGTGGCAAAATTGGTCATTTTTCAAATAAATGTGTGACAAAATACAAGAACTTCCCATTTCTAATGAATTCAAAAATCAATTAGAATTCTTCTTTTAGATTAAGAACCTAAATCTATTATCGAATACTCTGATAATACCTCTAATGATGAATTCTAGATCAATGAAATTGATAATGATATTCTCTCATCGTCTAATGAAGAGCCCGAAGATTATAATGAATCTCCCTGTGATTGTCCATGCCAATCATCTACTGATTATTATAAAGTCATTTTAGAAATAAATGGTCTTAGTATTAATTTTTTAACCGCACAAAAAAAAAAATGATCATTGAATTTATTGATAATATTGATGATCCAAAAAAGAAACAAGAAATTCTATTTAAATATTCTAATTCCGAACAACATCCTACTCAATCTTCAAGTACTACTTAAGAATTAAAATATGATGCATATGACTTCAAATATGTCTTTGATAGAGTAAACAAAGTTCCTACTCCACTTAATCTACGGACTATATAAGATTTATAAAATGAAATTAGAAATCTTAAAATTGATATTCAAAATTTACAATCCAGGGTTATTGCCCTTGAACAAAATTCTCAAGATGACTTTCTTGAAGACACATCATTTCCTTATAAGCCACATCTTTAAGAATCATCGACCAAGCATCCTGACACAAACAACCATTTATATTATTAATGATTCTGCTAACTTGCTCCTTAATAGCATCACATTTCAAAAATGGTATATTGAAATTAAAGTCGAGATCCATGATTTTATTCTCACTACAATGGTACTAGTTGATTCTAGTGTTGATCTTAATTGCATCTATAAAGGCTTAGTGCTTTTCAAATATTTTGAAAAAAACTAATCAATCCCTAGGTACCACCAATGGTGAGTCAATGGAAATCAATTATAAAATTTCCCATGCTCAAATAATCAAGGTATTTGCCTAAATACTGAATTTTTTCTTGTTAAAATTATGTCTCAGTTAATTATGTTAGGAACACCATTGCTTACTATAATAGCTGCTTTTACTGTTACAAATGCAGGGATTTCTACCGTCCTTATCAATTAAAACATTATTTTCAAACTTGTATTCCTTCCTCAAGAACATGAAATTAATACTCTTAAAACTAATTTAATTTATTAAAAACAAATTTGTCTCTTACAAAAAGAAATTTCTTACAAAGTCATTGGCCAAGAATTACGACAACCTCATATCAAATCTATTATCCAAAAAATTCAGACTTTATTTGAAAAAGATTTATGTTTAGAATTACGACATGCCTTTTGGCATCAACAGCAATATATGGTTGATTTACCTTATGAAAATGATTTTAATGAAAGACACATTCTTACTAAAGCACGTCCTATTCAAATGGATAAAAAATTAATGGAACATTGCAAATAAAAAATTAATGATCTTTTAAATAAAAAATTAATACGACCAAGCAAATTACCGGCCCCGTTTGGTGTAACTGTTAAAACAGCTTATAAATGATAGTTTAACAGATTGTAGATTATAACTTTAATCAGAAGTTGTTAATCTGTTTGGTGTAACTGTTAGATTATAGATTTAAGTTGCTGAGTAGTGTTTGTTAAATAAGCTGTGAAATAGCTTTTTCAATTAATTTTTATTTTTTATTTGTCTACATTTCTCATAAAAAAAATAATAATAATCTATAGTCCATTTGAGTCTTTTTCTATTTTTAAAAAAATAAAAAATAAAAAAATTTAAGAGTATAACCATAAATTAACATGTCCACAGCAGAAGCTGATAATCAGAAGCAAGGGGTGAGCAGCTTCTCAGAATCAGCTTTTTTGAGTTAAAATAAGCTGTTAGAATCAGAAGCTGTTTGAAATAAGTTTAACCAAACAGTCCAAAATAACTTTTTCAAAGCTAAAAGTCATAAGTTGGCTCGGAAAAGCTGAAACAAACACCCCCACCATGCTCTTGCCCTGCCTTTTATGAACAAAAATTCTGAACTTGAAAGAGGAACTCCAAGATTAGTTATTAGCTACAAACCTCTTAATATTGTGTTACAATAGATTCGATACCCAATTCCAAATAAAAAGGATTTATTAAATAGGCTTTATGAGGCCAAAATCTTTTCAAAATTTGATATGAAATCTAGATTTTGACAAGTTCAAATTATTTAAAAAGATCGCTATAAAATAGATTTTACAATATCCATTTGGCATTATGAACGGAATGTTATGTATTTTGGCCTAAAAAATGCTCTTTTTGAATTTCAAAATATTATGAATGATATTTTTAATCCTTATACCACATTTACCATCGTTTATATTGATGATATTTTAGTATACTTCAATTTTGTATCTCAAAATAGCAAACATTTATACAAATTTTATTATATCATTAAAAACAATGGATTAGTTCTCAATGCCAAAAAGATGCAACTTTGCCAAACGTCTATAAGATTTCTTGGTCACATCTTTAGCGAAGAAACCATTGTCCCAGTACAGCGTTCTATTAAATTTGCTATTAAATTTCCTAATGAACTTCGTGACAAAACCCAATTACAATGATTTTTAGGAAGTCTCAATTATATTTCTAAATTTTATAAAGATACTAAAATTCTTTATACATGTTTACAGAAAAATCTTTCTCATTGGACACACGATCATAGTCTTTCTTGTTAGGACCCTACTTATTGCCAATTCTACGAATAAGTTTGGGTTAATTGAGTTGTAACTTTTTCTTTGTTTTTGGTCTTTCCGCTTGAGCGAGGAAAGTTGCGCTCAAGCGGCATTTTTACCTTCTCAGTACTTTGGCTCATCTGCAAAAATACTATGAGGTGTGATTTTACGCTCGAGCATAAGTTTCAGCGCTCGAGCATAGCCTCTGGTTTGGAACACACATATTAGTGTCCCCACTCGAGCGGCCATTTTTGCGCTCGAGTGGAGATCGCAATTCCCGCAGCTATAAAACTGCAGTTTGCTCCAAATCTAGGGTACGATTTCCAAGTCTTCTTTGAGGGTTCTAAGGTTTTCTTCTAGGGCTATTTTGCTAGTTTTCTTTTATGCTTGATTGAGTATTAAACTCACTTGGTTTGACAAGCATACATCAAAGAGTTTGATTATTTGAGTGTTCTATTTCAAGAGTGTTCTTCTTTGGTGGAATTCGGAGATTCAAGCGTGGAGTATTCGAAGGAGTTTGAAGTTGTGCGTAGTTGTTGATTCAACACGAATGTTGTGG